TTCATAAATATGCCCTTTCTGGACTGTACTAACCAACGGATGTACATGAGTAAAGCGGTAGGAGATAGCTGACCATTCTGCCGACCCTTCAATTAAAAGAAATCAGGGACAGTCTGCTTTTCAAAATAGAACCATGTTTTGACATAATAAAAATTATTTTTCTTATCTTCTTTTCTACTGTTAGTTTCACTCTAACATATTAAACATTAGGCCTATCACTTCTGTGGTAGTTAACTTCACACCAACTTTATTTTCTTTTGTTATTTTTTGTCTGCTCTTCCTGCTCATCTCACACTATTTATATCTTTATCACTTAATCGTCTGTTCGCCTTCTATATTCTCGACATCAATGAATTATTAACAAAACTTCCTACAATCATCTGCTTTTAACTCTTATTATAACAAAAACTAAACAATAATATAATATTCATTCACAAAAATAAATTAATCACTAATATCTAAACCAAATAGTCTTTTATATCATGACACCCTGTATGCAACACACATTTCCACACTGGGTGCAGAGTAAACCTGGTACAGCAGTGGTGCAATCTCCCACATGTGTTTTTCTCTCATCAGGAATAACACTGCATAGATGCTTCTCAAAGGATACTTCTTTCTATTCCTCACACTGGTCCCTCTGCTTATTCAATGTGGTATTCTAGCTATACATGTTAACGGAGGTAAGGTACCGTATCAGAAGTTAATATTTTCCAATACTAAAAATATATTTCTGATAGGTACTTACCTTTTCTAAAACTTCCCACCCTTCCTCCCCACTGAAAACAGTTATAGTTCGGTAGAATCTAATAGAGGGAGTCACTTGCATCAGGGGGTTGTCACGTGATGATTTGCATGTGACATGCAGAAAAACCTTGTTGATTGTGGGGTAACATGGAAGTTCAAGGCTTGCTATGTGAAAAAAAGCTAAGCATATAGAGGGCAGCACTGAATGAGAATAGCCATACATGTGAGAGAAGGTTAGTACCAATTTGAAATTTATTTTTGGTATAGGAAAATAATATCTGCTACAAACAGAAGATACAACAATCGAGTTGGATGTTTAAGGCAATTGTAAATATATCTTTGACATTTTGTAATATTTCTAATTTGGATATCTAACAACTAAAACAGTTAAGATTGTGTCATCTCACACGGTATTTTGCATTTTGTTGGCATACTCTCCACTCTCAATAAAATACCGGATTTCTTACATTTACTTCTTCTTCTTCTGCAATAATCTTTTTTTATAATTTCATAAAAAGGATTTTTAATTTTTATAAATCAGTTATGCCAGTTTCATGCCTTTATTAACATACATAAATATTTAAATATCTATATATAAGAGTCAAATGTCTGTCTGTCATGCACTGTATTTCCTGAACAGTTAATCATAGAAAAAATATAGATCAAAATGCTTATTTTCAAGAATAAATTATAGGAAAAATATTCATTTTTGGCAATTTTGAAAACTTCATATCTGTCAACATTTGTTTGTGCTGAACAATCTGAAAACAAAACTTATTAAGAGCCAAAATATTTCTTTTTAAGAAGGAATTTCATGAAAAAATGGGACGCCCTCTGTATATATGTTTCAGTATATATTTATTGCTGTTTTTGTTTTTATACTGGTATTATACACATGTATCATTTTATTGTACAGTGTCAAATAAATCTATTTGAATCAAATATCTCCCTTTTCACACTTCTTATGATAACTAACAAAAAAGCACTCACTTTGGTAAAAGTATTTTCTTGCACTCAGTAAAATGACAAGGAACAGTGGCATCTAGCAAAAAAAAATCCCCGAGGCTACTTAGCGTATCTGAGCACTCTGTTGTGCTTGATGCACCCATTGCATCAAAACCAAAACATTTTTGTCAACATACATTGCAGTCCATCTTCATTGCTTAAAAACAAACACGGTGCAATTTTTCTTATTGAAATAACACATGGAATGACAAAATATTACATATACACTCTGATCCAAGGGATTGAGTTGACTGCACATTCAATCCTATTTTTTATGAGAAATACTGTTGAATTGTTTCAGTTGGCATCTGCTGGTGTGTGTGTGTGTGTATATAATTATAATTGATTTACAGACGATTTACTAGTTTAAATGCAAAGATATCACAAACTTGTAGCATGGGTATGGAAGGAAAAACTTGTATTTAAACTTTCAGTAGATTTACATTGAAATTCAAAAGTTTTATATAACATTTGAATTATAAAATCATGTTTTTGTCTAATATGAGTTGTGAGGCATCCTTGTGACATGTTTAGTCTTAATTATGTAACTTTTATGCAATTAATGGCTTTTCATTAATAGGATTAAAAACCATTCAAGACATTTTAGTAAATCAGATGAGATTATACTACGTATTCAGTTCATAACCGAGATACTTTTAGAAAATTATGGAAAGTATATAATTATGTTTTATGGAAATAACTATTATTCTACTGCCATCAGAAACCATTACAGTGTTTTCACTGACTGTTATCATGTATTCTTATTATGTATAGATATGTTTTGAAATGTATTACTTTGACTGGGTTGTCTTAGAATAAACAGAATTATGGAAAGTATATAATTATGTTTTATGGAAATAACTATTATTCTACTGCCATCAGAAACCATTACAGTGTTTTCACTGACTGTTATCATGTATTCTTATTACGTATAGATATGTTTTGAAATGTATTACTTTGACTGGGTTGTCTTAGAATAAAAAAAACCTTGAAGAAAAGTTCTTTCTCTAATGTGATAAATATTACAAATTAAATTTTCCGTAGATCAACGTGTTTAAAAAACCAATCACTGATCCTGGAAAACATTCCAAGAAAGGCCGGCTTTCACTAGAAAAGCAAGGAAATTCATACTTAACAATTGAAGAAGGACTTGGTGATCCAGAAAAGGTGATGAAAAGTTCTTTATAAAAATTTTTCATTGAACTGTTCCATGTTTAATAACATAGACAAGCCAGGTTTGTGATATATTGTAAGTTAAAGAAGCATTACTGTTATATATAATAAGACATACCTATCTAGTTCAAATGCAGGATATCTTTGTTAAAAATGTCACCTGTGAAAATGAATTCTAACTCGGAAATCTCAACTTGTTCTGAGATACTAGCCTAAGGCCTGATTGTATGAAATATCTTTGAGATTTAGTGAAGATTTCTTACTGCAATGCTTGTTTTGTTTACATTAAATATATTGTCAAAGGAGCTATCCAGTTCTATACTATAACTGATGGTAATCTTGAATTGCAATTTTGTTACTGCTATTGCTAGATAAGGTGTTATTGAAATATTCAATTCAGAAACTCCTTGAAAATGAATTGTAAAACAGGGATTAAAAAGATTTTTCCATACAATCAAGTGAATGTTTAATGCAAATAACAGGTGTATAACCTGTAGGTATATAACAGGTCTCAGTTCTAATGTCTAATCATTTATAAGATGAAAGCTTGCTTTCAGCTAATGGAATTAATCATGTCAAGTTAGAAACATTATGAAGAGACTAGTATTTTTTTCAGGTATAGAGCTGTTAAATCAACTTCATAATGTATGCTAATTTGAAGTATAAACATGAACTCTTGCCACAGACTAACCTTAATTAAAATCCCATCAAGCATCAATCAAACTAGAACCATTTCTAGCACTCGGTATTTGTAATATAGTAATAATCATCTACACATAAACATCAGATACAAGCTGGAAAATTCCTTATTTTTGATCAGAAGTTATTATAATAACTATATATTGGCTTGGCTTTCTTTTTATTTTGATGTAATACACACACAAAAGTACTTGAGAAGCTTTTCAGATTGCCAGACCTTAGTAGTGTTTATATATTTGTGTGATCTGACTAATTTTATCCAGAACAAGAGTGATTTGTAAACATGATGTTTTTAGATAGAACCCACAAAAATAGAAATTGATTGTTTTTCACATTTTGTGCTGTCATCAACAGCACTTTGGACCCATTCTATACATTGTTATCTAATCAGATTGTGAGGAGTAACAAAAGGAATAAATTTCTTTCCTGAGTAACCTTGTTAATGGTTTTTACTCTTAGGTCAGAGTATCAGTTTGCATGATTATATTGACATCTTTTACAAATAATCTTAATTTTTAGGCCTTTTCATTGTCTCTTGGATATAGAACCATTGTTTTACCCTCTCATATAAGTGAATAAAATAAAGGTTTCATTGCACCCAAAGCTTCGGCTAAACTCAAAACTCTTATCTTAGACAATAGATACATAGACAATACATTTTAAAACACATGTAAACAACACAACTACTTCAGCACAACAAAATCAAAGTCCATAATTACATTGAATATTCCTGTTAATCCTGCCTGTTTTTAATTTTCAGTGATATTGCCATAGAATAGGCCCACAACACCACATTTCTATATTACTAAAAGTTATTTTCCTTTTCCTCTCTATTGCCAAATTATTGGCCTTTCAATAAATTTTTGAATCTCCCAGTATATATGCTATAGATATTTCTGAAAGTTTATAAGATGAACTATTAATTTTGAACTTTATAAAACATATACCAACATATATGTTTTTTCTTATTTCAACTTTATAGCTGTCACAAGTATTTTATTGAATAATGTTTTCAAATGCATATACATAAATAACACCTTTTAGCAACCACAACTGAAAAATTAGTTCTATATGTACCGATGGGTATTGTGTTGTTGAATTATGTCACTTCAAAAAAAAAAAAGGTTTTATTTATTTTGATTAAGAGCTTAGCTGGGGGATGAGTGTGTTGTTGATTTATACAACTTTCTTATATATATGTAATATTTCAACTATATAGCTTTCAAGGTTTTTTCTTTTATCAACAGAAATTTTTTAAATGAAGAATATCTCAATATTGAAAATAATCTGTAAAATTATTTCTTTTCAGGACCTTTTAGTAACTGTGTTTGAAAATGGAAAATTAATTCGAGAGTACACATTTGATGAAGTGAGAAGAAATGCTGAACTAGATACAGTAAAGAATAATAGGAAAACATAGTACTGGAAGATTCTTATTAATTTATTGTTTAGGTTGATTTACAGTCATAATAATACATTTTTGTAGATTTTCAATACACAAATGGTGTTAATGTTGAAATACACTAACACTTGGAGATCTCATCTCTGTGAGTGTAATGTTATTGATTTTGTGTCAATCTTCCATTTGTAACAGTGATAACATTCCTCTAAGTCTTAGAGGAATGCATAAATGTGATTATTTGATGAATGTGATAAGCCAAACCATGACTTATTCTACTAACTCAATTTTGAATCCTCAGAGAAGAAATATTTCTCTGGAAAAACAGTTAATTTGCTTGCTTTGTTTACTGGTAGAAACGTAGTCCTGATTTGGATAGAGCAGTAGTCATTGTTTTAGATTTTTGAAAAGTTTGATCTAAAAAAAAAAGACTGGAGACAAATATGAGAAACAAAACATATTCTGGAACTGATGCGATCCACAATAACATTTTTAGCGGGTTAGATTTTAAAATCAGTAATTGATTACAAGATTTTTGTGATTTTTAGACTAGTCTGTCATTTTGTAATCTTGTAAAGTTCTGAGAAGAGCAATGTTTGAGATACATAATCATTTTATAATTATTTAATTATTGTGGTGTTCTAACAAATTTTTTATAGCTTTCAAACTATGAAGTATGTAGCAGAGAGTTCTGAACCAAAAGACATTGTGTATGGGATGTGTGATGGACTTGAAAATCGATGCTTTATTTGGTATTCTAGTAGAAATGTGAGAGACACAAGATATTTAGTATTTTAGCATGTTTTAGTAAAGTTTGAAAATTGTGGGGAATTTTTACTTTACAAGATAGAAGAGGTAATCGTATATAGATAACAAGTTTCATTGTTTTTATACATTTAGAATCCTCTATACAGTTTTCCAAGTTTCAACACCCTATGATACATAAAGAATTTTAACACAAGTGGGTATTTAATATCCCTGAATAGATTTAAATTAGCATTTAAAACCATTCTATAGTATACCTGAGTCTTTTAATACCAGTGTGTCATAGTAGCCGAGCAAAGGTGTAAGTAGAGTAGTTTTAGAACTTTTTATCTTGTACATCAATCCTTTAAAAGTCACTTATTAACCCGAGAAAGCTAGTAGATAACAGAAAGTTTGAAAAATTATATGTTGTATACGTTAGTTGCTTAGAATGCTTTTTAGACTTCCTGTTGTGGCAAAATATTTAATGAAGAGATTCAAAATCTTGTGTGAAGTATATGAGTCACTGTGAAATCAGTAATTTACTTCCTTAGCAGTATTTAACTGTTTGAAGGTAAGGATGGGAATGTTGAAAATATCATTGTTTAGATGAAATCTATTTTAAATATTTTTTATTAGAATAATACATTTTACAAAACATGAATTTGCAAGGTAGTGAATTTTTCATGCCAGATTAACTTAGTCATTTTCCACAGCTACAATATCTTATAGTTTTCATAGTCACCTGAATATATTTACGTTTGTAATAACTTTGTACGAAACAGCTACTCATAATTTAAAAATATATTGGTATTGGATATCCTGATGTTAAACAGTTTTGTTTTTTTTACACTTAATGGTATTCAGGAAGAGTGATTGTTGATACTGTAAAAAAAAAAAGCTTGTACTCGTTAGAAGTGATACAGTAATTTAATTTGGTTTTGATTGTTAACAGTTGTAGCATTTCCTTTTATGGAAAAGGCAAGGAAGCAATAAGAATTAGCTTAAAATAATCAGTATTATATTTGTTACTTAATATAACAGATTTTATTTTCTCATTTTGTTGATGCCCGTCTGTATTCTTTATAAATATATAATGTGATGCTAATAAAAATCAAACCTCATTCTGATGTGTAATGACTTAAATAAAATTGGTAAAAATTACAGTTCATGTTGTTCACACAGAAACAGTTCAAGTATTTGATCATAGGAGCACCTTGATCAGGATTATGTTTATTATATCACAGCTGGCCTGATGATCCCTAGTATTAGTGAAAGTATTAGTGAAGTATTAGTATTAGTCAGCATTAGACACAGAAGATATAGCATGGTTGATATATTATTATTATTACTTCTTTATTTTTAGTCACAAGTTCTCATAAAAACTAGTAGAAACCAGTGTGTATAACTTCATCAAACAGTGAAATTTATTGCATTAAGGCAGTTGTGTAAGAATTCAGTATTGAAGTTATTTCACATTTTATTTTTTAAGTACAATAACTTTGGGAAAAAAAATACTGTTAACGATTATAATAAAATTAAAAAAACTATGTTTCTCAGTTTATTTTCATAGTAAAAAGATACATTGTAAGAAAATATTATACTTTGGTTAGCAATTATGTGTGTAAAATTAAAAATGTTACATTACTTGCCTCCCGTCTTCTTTTCTAAAAAAACCAAAACTGCCCTTTATCCAACAATTCAAACAGTTAGTTAAATAATGTGATAGAAACTTTTACTGTAACAGTATTAATAGTCAAAACTGTTATTGACGAATAGAAGCAAATGACTACTTTTTATTTTAAAACAATGTTTCATTCTAAGAAGTTATAAATGTCAGTATATACATATTTTACCTTATAAAGTTCAACAAGTATATGTAACAATTTAATAGTTTTAATTATATTTCCCCATCAAGGAGGAAGATATATTGTACTTTGTACCTTTCTTTCCAGTAATTATAATTGTGTACCAATTCTTTATTTCTGGGCTATTTACCTTGGATTAATACACCCAGGCAGCTTTTTCATGTTTGTGTTCTGATTTTATGACTACTGTTTCTTTATTTCAGTTGAGATGAGACTGCACAAAGATACTTTATGATAACTCCCACAGATTGAAGTGCACAAATTTGAGTTTTTTTTACCTTTCTTGAGATTTTAAAGGGGTCAAAGGTATAAAATGTTGCAGTTTTAGGGCTTTAGGTTCTATTCCTTTATACTTCAACAAATCTAAATCAATTTTTCCATAAAGATACCTTGCAATAGCTCTCACAGACTGAAACATACAAATTTGGGATTTGTGCGTTTCTTACAATTTTACGGGTTTCAAAGGACAAAATATTTGCAGAATTACGGTTTTGACCAGCCATTCTTCTATATTTTGACCTATCTAGAAGAAAATCTGCACAAATATACATTAAGATTTGTGCCGTTCTTTGATTTTAAATGGGTTAAAGGTAAAAACAATTTGCAGTGTATGTAATAGGGAGTTCTAAACTTAGATGTCTGTATACGTAACTGTTACAAGGGGTTATTAGCAGTGATTTGGTATACAAAGCATGAAATTACAAATACTATATCAAGGAATAGGTCTTATTTGATCATTTTTAGTTGTAAAGTTTTTTGTCACTGTAAATAAATATATTTAAGCAGAAGCTACTGTCCTGTGTATTACAAGGTAACAAATTATTATGTTCCAATACACAAGTTGATACTGTGTTTATCCCTCTGAAGTATATAGGTTGGAGTTTATAATTCCCATTTTGAACTTTACATTTTCATTCCACAGAGTAAAAAGACCAAATCTTTCTGAAAACTAGGACTATCTTCTTTTCAGTGATTGTTTTATCAGTTTTAAATGCCCCTCCCTCCCCAGTGGCAAGTTTAAAGGCTTATAATGCTAATAATTGGGTTTTGATACCCATGATGGGCACAAACAGTTTTAAATGACTAAAGTGTTTTTATTTGTTGTGGATGAATCAGTACTCTGGATTTTAAGCATAAAATGTTTCCACCCATCATTAAGTCCTCGTTTTTAATAATAGAAAGCTTACATATGCAGATCATGATTCTGTTTCAGTTTATTTATGGTCGTATTGATGAAAAATGCATGTATATCATTGGCAAGCTTAAAAATGAAAGGAAGGCTGGCCAATAGTGTAGTAATAAAGTTAAATAAGTAGATAGTTAAAACTTTTTAGAATAATACAACGCATTTCATATGTTTCTTACTTCTTTGGAATGATTACAATTGTGTGCTACTCCTGTATTTCTGTGCCAATTGCCTTGAAACTGTGGGAGTATGCACCATGGTTCAATATGCCCAGACAGGTTTTCCTTTTTTTTAAAAATAATTAATGCCCCTAAAATAAGAACAGGGACCTAAGTATTATTTTTAAGGGGGGGGGGGCATTTTTCATGTCCTAACCTGTCAAGTTGTAAATATGCAACATATTTTACTTTTTATAAACTTCTCATTTTAACATAACGTTTTAAAATATTTAGGCTTAGCTTCATCACCGTTTACCACAATTATATGTTAACATTCACATCTATTTACTTAGATGTTTTTGTCCAACTTTGTGGTTTTACATTTCTATAGAGGACCTGCATACTACTACCATGACTGTTATACCACAAAAACGAATTATATTTTCTGAATAATGGTGTTAAAAGCCACTGTACAACCATACCTTCTCTACATTGTGATAATCCCTTAAATTTCACAGTTACAGCACATTATTCTCATTGGACACTGAAAGTCACTTTTCTCTAGGCTGATAGAAAACCAATACTTTCTTTTCACAAATATCTGCATATGATAGCTTTATTTTATTAAAATAATCTCATTAGGCTAGTAATATCCAATGTGTTCGCAACAAACAGATTTTAAACATTTTTTAAAGAAATCATCATAACTACTAAAAAAACAATTTCTTATGATGAAATACTTACAAGCAAATGTTGTGTTATATTAAATGAGAAAGAGAAATCATGGATTATCTTACCCCTTGAACATAAGTGTGGAAAATTTATTTATAATCCCAAGATTTTTATTCTTCAGCCTTCACACACATATACCATTGAAGTTAATTTTTTTTTTTTAAATACAAACCTAGGCCTAATCTTTAAAAAAAACAAAAAACTAGTAGCATGTTTAGTGGCAACTGGTCACAAGTTGTGAATCACTTTATTTACATGCTAAACACAAGGGCATTAGTTTATGCATACTGGAAATAGCAGTTCCAGAAAAATAGGCATATAAATTACTTTAATTTTATATAACTTTAGAAAATTATTACACTTATGTTATTGCTATATGTAGTATACCTTGATTACTTGGAATGCTTACACACACATGCTAATTTAAAAACTGATGTTTATTAAACATTTCTTTAGTGTCAAACAGATATACAGAGGTTTTCAAAAGTAGTAAACCTAGTGAAATGGGACAATTATTATATGTTTTTGATGACCTCTTCCAATTCTTCTTTGGTAAACATGTGGTAGCCTTTATCGGGAGTTACGGCTGCTACCTGAAATTGAAAGTGGGTGAGAGAAACCTGTAAGAACATGATACTTGAAACCATTTATTGCTAGGTGTGTCTCATCTTACAACTAATACTTTATTGCACAGCAGTGATTTAATCCATTCACTGTGGCTGGGATCACTGGTTTTAGGTCAAACTGAACTTTGACAGGACATGATCCCAGTCACAGAGTGAGGGGGTGAGAGCACTGGAAAATATATGTCCCAGCTGCAGTGACAAAGTTTAAAATATATTCTCTATCTGTTACCTTTGATATTAACAATATAAATCTTCAGACAGTCCCTATAAATTTTATTGTAACTATCTGAGTTTACCCATTAATAAAGCAAAAACTGTACAAAGAACAACATTAGATAATGTTCTCCTTCCTTATTTCTTTTGTTATTAAATCTTTATGATCTCATTAGATGCAAATTACATACCCTGCTTTATGGAAGGTAATAACAGATTCATTTAACTGATTAAGTACTTGTGTCTTTTAAAGCCAAAGTCTATAAAAAGAAATGTGCCCTACTTTGGAGGCTTTTTTTAAAACTCCTTTTCAGGCAAAAATCATAAAACAAAACAGCCCATGTACACTGTTGGACAGTTTCCAGTTGCCTTACAAAAAATTACAATAATAGAGCCAGCCAACTCTAGGTGAAGGATGCTGACATACAGATGCACAAATGATGTATCATCTTTATAGTACGATTAATATTACTCTTTCTGAAAAATATTGAAAGTATACAAAAAGCAAACAGTCTTCATTCCTCATATATAAACAGGAATACCTGTAGTACAGTTCTGAAAAAGTACACAATAAAACTGACACTAGTTTTAATAATTTTAATGAAAAAAGCCATGGTTATATTTATTTATCTATTACCTGTTTTTCAGGCTACACATAAGGAACCTTGCAAAACTACAAAGTTTAAAACAGTGAGATGTTGCAGTCATTAATAAATAAACAATAATAAGTTGGAAATGAATAAGAACTAGATTGAATAGTGCAATTATTGAAATTACTAACCTCAATGTTTGTGGAGTTTAGTTTTTCTTCCATCACTTGTTTTAAGATTTTAAGAGCTGTTTTGGAGGCTTCTTCTAAAGTCATAGACTGTAAAGCAAGAAAGAGAAAATTTGTTTGTAGTAATAAGAATCTAGAATGCAAAGCCATTTTCTAGTTACAGTTTATACAATAAAATGGGAAGAAAAAAGGGTATTATCACACCACCACACAAACAAAGCAAATAAATAATTTTCTTGTAAGATGTAGGCAACATTAAGCTATATCTAAATATTTCATTATAATAAACTTGCAGTCTAAAAATATAACATGACATAAAACTTTAACATTATCACTATGTGGTTCTAGAAGAAAGTCCAAGACTAAATTGTAAACCCTCACAGATTCATTTCTGTATAAAGTTTCAGATTGTGCCAATCCACACACTACTAAACGAGGTGTAAATATACATTTGATCTTTGTTTACAAGATTCCGAGGAAACTTTCAAACAACTCTACAATAATACAAGTAGGTTAAGTAATAAACACTAGTTTATATATGTTAATCAGCAAGTCAGACCTAAGGATTTGTTTTGTTTATTTCAGGTTCCTATCTAAATTTCAAGCCTTTCAGCATTATATATACAATAAAATTATTTTCTTGCATGTTAATTCTTTCAGTACTAGCTATAGAAAATTCCATACATTTACTTTACATAAGCACTGTCAATGTTCTGTTTAACTTATTACTGAATACACAACTTGAAATAATGCAATATAATTTATTCAGGATCATGTTCTTAACAGTGCATATTAATTCTATGAAGTGCACATCCTTGTTTCAGATCAGACTCTTAAAGAAAAAACGCCTAAATAGATCACTATTACATTTTACTTTGTATCGGTACAGATATACTACACTGTGAACAAAGTTATTTAACATATGATGTTAAATACTTCAGCCAACTAACTTTTCCAGAAATTAATACATTTCTCCACATTTATCATTTACTTGTAACAGAACATAAATAATATTAAGACAAAGGGCCCGTATAAAATACTGTCACACAGTATTTCATCATTCGATCCTGTAAATGTTACTACAATCAAAAACTTCTTCCAGAAATAAAGTTGCCTATTTCTGTTTACATGCTGTCAAAGTTTTTGAAAATAGTTTCTGCATACATTATCGTACCAAAAGTCATGGGACACGGGTAGTTATGAATAAAACATGTCTTCATTCCAAAAAATTACTGATGTACAAAGCATCACCAATACTCTTGGCAAGAGCTTTTCTCATCTTTCCAGCACTGCTGTTTCTTGGCCTTCAAGTCACTAGCAGAGCAATTGCCTCTTTCCTTTTGGGCCATTCATCTCTATGACTATAGACTGGCCTTAATGACTGCTTCAATAAGTTGTGGAAGACTGTCTACTAATTTCTGGTAGAAAGCTGGCTGTATTGTGCTCCACTCCTTTTTTAAAGCATTAGTAAGCTCCACTACCGAAGAGGGCCATCTTGGCCTTGCCCTAATTCTACATTCCAGTTCATCCCAAAGATGTTCTATTGGGTTGAGGTCAGGACTCTGTGCTGGCCAATGCAATGTTCTGATGTCATTCTCTTCAAACCACACATTCACAATCCTTGACTTTTGACATGGAGCATTATCATGCTGGAAGGTGTAAGGGCTGGTACCATAAAATTGCTACAATGCAGAACACACAGAATTGTTCAGAACATAAATGTCATTCCACAGGACCAATTTTCATTGATCCACGGTCCAGGTTCGGTGTTACTTTGCTCCATGCCAATCGATGGTGTGCATTTGTTTTTGTTATCAACAGCTTGTGCACTGCAGCTCTTCTGTGAAATTTCATGGTATGCAGTTCTCAATGTTTCATGGAAACACTTATAAGATTGGCTATGCCTGCTCACATCTCCAAACACAGATTTTCTATTCTCTAGAGTCTGACAGTGAGATGAAGTAACCAGCCTTCTCAAGGCGCGTCAGCTCCTGTCAGTCAGTACTTTATGCCTACCTAGTCATTTCATAGGCTCATTGACACATGTGGACTTCCATTTCTTCAGCACGTTGCCAATTGTCGACCTGGGAATGTTTAATTGTTAAGCAATAGCACATACAGACATTTTCCCCAAATGACATCCAGCTATTCTTCCCCTCTGAAACTCTGTTAGCTCTTTCCATGTACTCATCATTTGCCATACAAGGTTGAAATGGACTTCCAAGCAAACCGCTGATCACCTTTACAGGCCAAATTATTTACGTATTTCATCATGACACCCATTTTCCTGCAATCAGAGGTGTGTCCCATGACGTTTGGTAGGATAGTGTACATGTATGTAGATATACAGATACAAGTTACTAAGTACAAGTTAATAAAGATATCAATCCTTTGTCTTTGTACTGATGATTTAATGTAGAAAATACACATTCCAGATATCAATTTATTATTATTATTGATATTTTTTAAATTTTCCAGGTTGGATCTCATGTACTGAACCTATTTGTGCCAAAGTTAAGTAAATATTGAGGTTTAAATATCTTATTATAACAATTTTATAAATTACATACAAATGCAGTATTAAAATTTATCAAGTTGCATATAAGTGATCAAGTTTTAGAAAACAAAAATGTATATTACATTTCCCAAGTATTTCATATTGTAGTTTCATCATTATACTTTATTCAACTTTTACTTTTTACTTACTATCAAACAGGTATTGAACACGTTTAAAAATCCCCTCCTGTTAAAAATTGGGGAAATTTCATTTAAAAATGTAAATATTTATAAGATAATGTCTACCACTTCAGTACTTGGAAAAAAAAACAAGATAACAAAAGGAAATATTTTCCTTGATATGATTAAGAAGAATTATTTTGTTTATGAAATACTATAAATTTGAAGAAACATTTTGATTCTTCTTTAATGTTACACAAAGTACCCAAAACTTAAACGTGAAAAAAATTATTCTAATGAACTGGTGTTCCTTTACTTTGTTTTAACCATTAATTTTTATGAAATTATTTAACAGTACTTTATGATACTCTTCCTGCAAGGCTTGTTGTGCCCCTTCTGACCCAGATCCAATGGCTTTAGCATCATACTGGACATATGTTCCAGATGGGTCCATGTGGTAACTGAATGAAGAAAAAAGTCCCATCAATCAGCATATACAAATTGAATTATTAAGATGAGTAACACTTAATCTTACATATGTAAAAATTGAATTTTTTCATACATCTATAAACAGTATTTAAAGAATGTATAGAGAAAGATGCCCACTACTACCTTTTTCATACATAATTTTTGTACTTCTATCTCAAGGACAGACATATAATTAAGCTTAATTTCTAAAGTTATAAAAAATATATAAATATCTAAAAAAAACTGTCTTTTCAAAAATATTAAACCAAATTAAAATACATAATTTATAAACTTACAGTTGGGGACCTCTCTCGTCAATTCCAGCAAAGAGAATTGCTACCCCGAATGGTCGACTCTGTAAGCATTAGAAAAACAACAAGCATGAGCTAATTAAAATGTGGCATGAAAAATAATCTAAGAATACAAAAATTTATTTAGCTATACATCCTAGAGTATTACATGTAACTATAATGTAAATGTTGCCAGTTTTCTGTTTTAAACTAACAGTAGTAACAATAACTTGTTCAAACTTCTCAATGTAACGAGAATGTATTACAGTTACAGTCAGGTAAGTTAATAAACAAACTACTACAAAACATAAATCAGTAAAGTTTCTGTTCAGAAACTCTTCATCTGCAAGTTGATATTGAAAATTATCTTTATGATACAAACCATTGCAATCCCATCATCGTCACTGTCCCCAAACCGAATAGCAAGGTTGGAAACTGCCTGAGCCACACTTTCTACTTGCATTTTCTCATTGTACAAAAACCAGTGGTTCTGCAAGTAAGAAAAATGCAGCTTTACAAATTATAAATGTGAATGTTGAATATTAATGAGGAAGAAAGACGGTTAACTAAAACAAATTTTCCATTTCAAAAAATGTTTTTAAAGAAGTATGCTTTTTGGTAGTCATGGCAGTTCTGGTATTTTGTATTGAACACAATGTCTTAATGTTAATTCCAAGATGTAGTTACTGTGGAGTTGTAAAATAACCATGAATTCGAGTTATGGTTATTTCATGTACTGCTTCATAAAGTTTTCATTTTTGATTGAATAATCAACAAAATGGTTAAATTGAAAAACATTTTTATAGCAAAAAATAAGATCTTGAAGGCTGATTAAAAACAAATTAATTCCAAGTAATTACTTAATACTTAATTAAAACTTGTTAACATAATTCTTAAGTTTTCTAAAAAACAATACTATCATACAAAATCAATTTAGAAAACAATTTTATTGACCAACTTATAAACTGTAAACCACTTTCTGTATTACAGTTCCAAATTACTTTCTTTTAATTGTCTAAAAATATCATAAAGTTAAGTCACAAAATGCTTTACTGTGTGATATTTCTACAACAAGCCAGACTCAAAAATTATGATGAATCCTGTATAAATCATGAGTAGAAAAACCACTAGCCTGGAGTGCTGCAATATCTATAATGACTATAGAAATACACTCACCTAATGATAAATAAAACGTGATATAAAACACCCATTATACAGATTCTATACACACAAACATTTAATACAAGAAAGGGTATGAAGAAAGTTACTTACACCTAATATTTCTAAAGTATATACCAGTCACCAAGTTGAATATTATGTAGTCGGTCCTATAGTTTTCTTTCCTCACATATTTCTGTTTATAGTTTTGATAACACTATCATACTTGTGCAATTCAGTAAGCCTCAGTATTCACATTGCTTTTGTGTATACTACTTAACAAATTCTTTAATTGATACACATAATATCTAAGTAAAGAGTTAAAATCTGAACTTTGTGACAAAAATGCTGTGTTCTGTCTTTAGCCTTAAAACTATGAAAATTAGTTTAAGACAAAAAAAAGTAAGAAAGAATTACAAAGAACTAGCAACTAGAATAATGCTACCAATAATAGCTTCTACATTTTTCTTGACAATGGGCCTTGTAGTTTACTGTAGTGTTTAAAGTTTGCTTACTAATGTAAAAAAATTGCATTTACAGTACACTTTGGATACTGACTGGTATAACACCCATGCATATATATATTAATGGTTTTTAACAGTTTAACCTGTACATGGTAGTGAATATATTTTACATTGTCTAAATTTACTCTTCAAATACAAAACAGTAACAAAGAAGGCATTAAAACATGTATCAACATCATTATAATTTACTCCATACTCAGCTTATGAATATAATCTTTAAATAGTTTTCAAAGATAATTTCTTTTACAAGTAAACTATATACCTGCCTATTCATATTGTCTTGTTATCAATGAAAAGCATCAAGAACATGCATTTTTTGTCTCACAAAAAGTATTCAAAATATTAAATTTTTAATCAAGTGCTTTTAGATGCTATATTTTTGAAATCAATACTTAAACAGTAAAACTAATGGCTGTTATACATATCAAATTTTATCATATAATATTGGCTTCTCTGTCAAGTTTCAGCTTAATTTTCTTTGTGGTTAGAGCTTTCTAGGGAAAAAGTGCTGTAGAAACACTGTATCACATACAGTTTTAACTATTTTAACAACGTTGTTTTAAGGTTACCACTGAAAGTGCACATTAGCCTTGAAGCTAAAACTGACTTGTGCATTATTTCATGTAGAAGCATGATCTACAACACAAATAAGAATATGTCCTCTGTTTTAAACAGTGCTTCGGCTTTCAACAATAGGTCAAAGTACTACACTGACACCAATGCATAGGGATAAAATTAAATCTGTTTCACCCTGGTAAATTAAACTAGGTGAGATAAAGATCATGGAACATTATAACAATTATATACCTTTTCAGATGATATTTAACAGAAGTGAGGAAGTCTTATCAAAACAGACCACGAAAAGAATGCTGGTAGAAATTTAAACTCAAATTAACAATAAAGAACATGACAAAAGAAAACATGTAACAGTCTCAGTGGAAAGCAGGCATAACATAAGGTCTGTTGTTTCAAGTTCTCCTCTGTTTATTTTATGGGTTAAAAGCACATTTTAGAGGTTTTATTATTATTAACTTCCTTAAAACTGTCACTTGCAGTAGCAAGTTGATACACATCAAAATTATCCCACTTTACTCTCATTTATTGTAATTAATAACTAAAACAAAGAAATATTAACAATTTATTGAAAGAAGATCAAGAAGGAGTATCACATTCAAACTAAAGTGTACTCCATTATAATAAATCATGGATTGATGTAAATACACTTATGACAAAAGTTGTTGGCTAGTTATGTTATATAAAAATACTTTTAGAAGTGGATTACCTCTCAACATCGATATTAACATTGTTTTTCAGCTGCACATTTAATGTAATTTTTGTGATGACCAATTTAAGTCAATTCATAATTACCTATACAACTGTATACAAATTCATGCTTGAAGCATCCTTAAAAGTTTGATGGCTTGATTCTTGTAAAAATAAACAACATGTTACTACATCTGAATAGATCAGGTAAATTACATAATTACAATTTTATTTTTCATCAGTATTATGCTTCTTACACTTCTAAACAGTATATTTTTGATCTAGTCACTTAGGGATTTTCAAGAGTTAGAACAGAGTATAAATAATAGCATTCCAATCGCACAATATTTTTCGTATCCATCACTAACAACATATTTCACTCAATTCAGAGATCTTCAGGCCAGCTGGGATGTAGTGTTTAAAAATGTAATAGGCCTAAAAATAATGTCTTATTACAAGTATAATAATAATAATTTTCATAAGCTTTTAAAAGGTATACACATCATAACATTTGTTGAATTACATAATGTTTCAGACTTGTCTCTCACCATTTCATTATAACTATTAGTACAAATATAATCACCTGAGCTTCAACTCGTGCCTTGTCAACCATTGTCCTAGAATCAGCCATGAGTCCACTTACAGCACAGCCTATAGAAATATTAATTTACTCATTCTACAAGGAAAAGCACCGGCATTGTTAATACAAAAGATTTTGATATAAATGAGTAAAACCCAAATTTTTACTAGGTAGTGTTTAGAAACTAAACTGTGAGCTTGTTCTTTCAATCTTGTTGAGAGATATTGGTTGTTTTCTTCCATGTAAGGACTATCACA